TAACAGCAGTTCTTTGCGAAGCAATCAAGGCTAAAAGAAACACATGCTCGACTTCTGCGCACCTGGGAATTTTGTCCTGCAAGAGAGTGTTCTTTGTGTTCACTGAGAAAAATCCAAGACGGTTAACTGCGTCATTCACCTCAGTCACTTAATTATCATTTACATAGTTCATTGAAACAACACGAATCAGAAAAAAGCTCAGAGATGTCGGTTACACTAATGTTGACCAAATTATCTCAAAACATAAGGCATGTGAAAAATCCGTTATGGCGAGGCCGGCCACTCCCACTCGATATCGCAAGAATTACCGGGTCATTCAGAAAGTAATTTTGATTCCTTCCTAACATATTTACATTTAATACAAAAACTCTCAGCTATTTTCTGCACGGGACAACAGGGAGGGGGCCGTTCAGAACACAAACAAAATATTAGGGTGTTTTGATTCGCCAAAGTTGGCCGTTTATCAACCGATTTCCACGCATCTAAAGCAGATCATCGAAAGCTGACAAATCAAATATTGATATGTCAAAGCGCGTGTCAAATTCAAAATGCATGATTTATTCAGGATATGGACATGGGGGAAAACAGAAAATCATGGCAACAGATTTTGTTCATGAACTTAGTCAGCTTCTGTGGGGCAAATGTGATGGTGTGGTTCGGTGATGACAAAAATGAAAGAACAAGTACAGAAGCTGTCATATGCGGTAATAAGGGATTGAAAAGGGAAGGCTAAGTTGTGGACACATATGATCAGCCGGTCACAATGCTGCTATCCGCCCGAAATAAATCGTGGTGCTTAAATTATGTGTGTGAACACGTGTCATAGACATATCCAGATTTTCAAGAGAAGGGGAGTAGGAGCGCGTGATTTGAATGTATCGTATTAGAGTAGCCCCCGTCCACTGACGGTCTGCCGCTGGCGACCACGGCTCCATGTACCTCAATAATACCTCCTCTCCTCTGTTGCCGCACCTGGAATCGCCATGCACTTGCAGGTATCGTTTCAGATGGTGCTTATGCACATCAGGGAAATATGTGCAAATTGTCGTTTTTGTGCTCTGTGTTTCAAATCATATCACCCCGGTTACCCTCATTACTAGAGGCGTCTCTTGACAGATGGAGAGCGCTTTCTTTTTCGGCTCCGCACGTTAACACATTTTCTTTCCTTCTATTTTCATAGCAACAAAGGTGCAGGATGATGTTGGACACTAAGTTCGTCCTTCCGTGCACCTTTTTGCTCTACCTGAAAACGTCTTTGCCCCCGTATATATCAGTCAGCTCTGATAAAATTGGCCGACAATGAGAAGTGTCGCATCTAGATGCTGAAGGTGCCCTAGATATGTCCACATTAACGGCACACAACGTTATCACATTGTAATACCATTTTTCCCTTTTTAAGAGCCCCTTTTTGAACCCTGGAAACGCCTCTAGTCCTCTGCCTGGCTACTTCTTGCATAATGTACTAACGATATCAATGACGCAATACATTATTCACAACGAGCGGAGGCAACTCTTGAAAACGCAAGATAGTTCGCATAACCCATTGGCACTCACCATTTCAGCATCACCGCCCAATTTTACTGGAGATCCCTCTCAATACCGGACCCTGGAACCGCCCCTACTCATACCAAACGCCATAGATTTTAACACAGTACGTACGAAGATTATTAAGGAAAAGTCAGAAAATACCATCGACCCACTACATGGAGTAGATCGCAGTATTAGGTTGGTTGTGAGTAGGTTTTTAATGTCGAGTTGAAGTGCAGGCATCAAAAACCCAATTTTTCCAGGTCGAATAGTCATTTCTCACACAGCCGTGCACACAAAGGTTCTGATAAAATTGACGCATTGACTTCATACCGCACGTAAGGCGGTATGTCGACATCTACACCAATCCCATTTACGAGCCTCAGTTCGACGTCCATGTTTTTGTCTGTTGTTTACCTAAAAAAGCCGAAAACAGCCTTCTTGGAAACAAAACCATTCCTGTTGAAAGCTTCCCAATGGAGTTGTGCCGTCTTACACCGTCGAGCTGATGGAACCAGACGAGAACCTTGCAGCGGAAGCTATTGCCGAAAGGAAGGATAACGTGTCAAGTCGGGCGTGTTTCCTCTCCTTAAACTCACGGCCGGGGAGCGCGCAGAATGGGGTTTTTCTACATGCCGGGAGTAAAATTCACTCACCACCTAAAGGTAAACAAGGGAATGTACGCCTTGTGCGGAAGGTACACCACACGGGTTACCCTTGCAGTGATGGTTGACGTCAAGAGCAGCTGCTGGCGTCAGTGTAAATGGAATGAGTAGCCTCCATGACGTGAGTAACGCAGATGGGTTAACATCTGAGAGAAACGCACTTGAATTTCGGTGGAGGGGCAACTACACCCACGGCTTGGAAGTAAAAAACGTCTATGGGTCATTTCTTCCAGAACCTGGGGTTGGCGGGTTTACTTGCCAGCGTGGGCTAAATCAGCTTTCAGTGCAAACATTTGTCTTGAGAGCAGCAAAAATAAATCGAAATGAGGGAGGTGGCGAATCTCCTCCTTAACTTAAAGAATGCGTTTAACCAGCGCTTGGCGGGGGGGGGAGCATTAGACCAAACAACACCTTCAAAAAGGGTTTTCCTTAAATGACCTTCGAGCGATGCAGCGAAGCCACACCCAACGTTGTATGGCTCCAGGAAATTACAATGCTGATCTTTCGGTGCAGGACGAATAAGATGAAGGTTGCTGACATATGACAGGCCAAAACCAGGCAATGGCCGTCAGAGAAGGCAACTTTTAGCGAATCGTTTATCTTATACGAATTCAGGACTACAACCATTTTCATCGACATTGGATCATGAGCCAAGAAGAGGTTCAGTTACAAGCAAAAGCGTTGACCTCCTGGTTGTCTAATAGTCACTGGTCTCATCACTGGCCTTGTGTCATCACTGACCCCAGTGACGGGTGTTACACCAGTGACTTTTTGTTCGGACGAAGTATGAGGTTAAAAGTGGTTACATGAGAAGGTTTGAGACAGACATCTGCTTGGAGCTCCAAAACTATCTTGGGGTCCCATAAACATGGAATCCTATAGGATCTTGGACCCACCTTGGAGACCTTGGCACATGTCTGGACGTCATTCACATAGAATCCCGACCAACCCATGAATTCCGTGTCTCTAGCTTCCTTATTTTTGACATCTCGCGGTGGGTGCGGAGGGGGGGGGGGGCGAATACGCCCGAGCCCACCCGAGCGCGTTGCGTTCAATCGGCCACCTGGACGTGTGTTAAGAATTGTGTAAAAAACCTGAAGGAAATGGGATGAAACGTTGGATCTCTGCAATTAATTGAATTGCTTTCCCAAATTGCAGACATCATCACCAGTCCAGGCTACATGCAGAGGATCATCAACTGCATGACAAGTAAACACCCGCTTTTCACTGAGATAACCCGACGAGCTGGGCTAGGGTGGCCAGGCTACAGATCAGCCGCTGCCTCCAGCCGAGGGTCTGGACCGAGGATCACGCGCTGGCCAGCACGCTGTGCCGGCGATAGCTGTCCTCCTGCGGCGCAGGCGGTGGCGGTGATTGAAGCACAGACTGGAGCTGGCGGCTGTGTGCGTGCACGGCCTGCCCTCTGCCCCGGGTCCACCTGTTCAGCCGCGACAGCCAGCTGCTGCGCGGCTGCAGCAGCTGGAGCATGCTCACTGCACTCTGGCGGCTGCTGTCGCAGCTGTAGCCTACGCGCGGCACCGCTAGGTGGCGTGATAGGCATCTGTCGCCACCGCACGGGTGGATGCCGAGACATTACTATCGGCGTGTCAGGACGTACTCCTTGAGGTTTGAAATGCAGGTTAAGGAAGCTTTCAGAGTGTAGTGGTGATGCGGTTGGCAGCGTCAACCGCGTGGTTCATTATCGTCCAGAAAATAAAGTTGGTTTTCACTTCAGTCGTGGGAGGGTGTGCTCATTTACACATTCTTACTTAGCTATCCATGTAGTTCATAATGTATTGAATTCGTTCACTTAATGTTTGTATTAATGTGACGGAGCTCGGTATACAGTTATTTTGGTAAGCGGGTATTCGCAAAGAAACAGACGAGCAGATCGTGAGGTAGAGGTACGTCACTCCGTTTTCCCGTCCAAAACCCGGCTTCGACTGTCTTTGGAGCGGCCTGAGGCAAAGCCGATAAAAACCTCCGTAACCCTTGGCCTTGAACATAGATTTACTGCTTTGATGCACCTTTTTCTCGGTGAACAGCAACACTTCCAAACTCGCTCCACGAACTCCGATCCTCTCCCCCCGAAAAATGCAGAAGGGATCACTGGCTTGGCAACATCCGACCATGGAGCGACAGGGAAAGGAGCGCCGGACACCTAAGCCAGGCCACTGAAAGCCTTGAGCCCGAGACGGACGGCGAGACCTCGCCAGCTACGTAAATGCACACGGCGAGGCGCATCGCCCCGATGAGGCGAAATGAGAAAGAAACCATGCGTTTAGCAGGATACCCTGGACAGCATTTCATCAATGATCTCAGTATCAGTCAGCCATCCCTGGTATCATATAGGACGACGAATGGTTTGATTAATTTCAGCGAAAGCAAGCATTCTTATTTGTATGTCACGCATGCACACATCGCGGTGTTTCGACCGTGTGAGTCGGTCATGGAACATGTAGTCAGCTGACTGTGCCATTCAGTTACGAGGTGGTTCATGCTGTGATCAGCTACCCCTTCGTAGCAGGAAAGCAAGTCGCTCATGCATGATCATCAACGTCTTTATTTGGCAGTTCCTAGCATAAGCAGAGCCTCGCACAGATCAACACGCACCCTGACCGTGGCCGATTACGCGCACCGACGCACGAACACGGATAGTCTAACGCCAACGTGCTTAGTTCGGTCGGAGGCTGTCATGTCACAGCCTGTCACCGAGCACAAGGCTGTCACGTCACAGCCTGTCACTGAGAGCAAGGCTGTCATGTCACACCCTGTCACTGAGCGCAAGGCTGCCAGGTCACAGCCTGTCACTGAGAGCACGGCTGCCATGTCACAGCCTATCTCTGAGAGCCGGTCAGCGCGGCCCCGTACGGGTCACAAGCTCGGCACAGATCACCAGTTCCCAGGGGCCTCAGGGCTTGGGCAGCCGGTACAGACCACCACTGAACAACAGCTTGTGCTGTTTCACCTTCTTGTCGAGGAAGGAGCGCAGCTCTTGCGTGGAGCACTCCTCGGCGCCGGCCATGGCGAACAGCCGCAGCATGCCCTGGATCCGCTCCAGCGGCAGCGACGCCAGATTGGTCAGCATTCCCACGATGTAGTTCCAGAAGACTTCGAGGTCGCGCTCCTTCTGGTCCTCGGTCGAAGTCATGGGCGAGTCGGCGTCGTCCTCGAGCAGGCTGCAGCCGGCCGCCGCCGCCTGCTCGCCGCCCTCTCCCAGCCGGTAGACGTCGGGCGCCGCCTCGGTCAGTACGCCCTGCGACAGCCAGAAGGCCACCTTGCGCCGCAGCACCGACACCGGTACGCGCATGGTGTGGCTCAGCTCGGCCGCCGTCCACGTCGAGCGCGACTGAAAGTGGTGCAGGATGACCGCGTGTACCGGCGTCACGCTCAGCTCGATGGTGCGGCCCGACAGCTCCACCTGCAGCTCCACGGTACCCAGGTGGCGCTTCCAGCACAGTGTGCGGTTGCCCTTGAGCGCCTGGAACTCGCGCGTGTACTCGTCGAGGCAGCGCTCGTACTCCTCGGGCAGGGCGAGCGTCTCCTCCTTGAAGTCGGGCCAGAACTGGGCCGACAGGATGAGCGAGTGGACGAGGAAGGCGGGCGGCGCCGGCGGCCCGGCCGCCGGGCTGGGCTCCGCCTGCCGCCGCAGGCGTCGGCTCTCCTCCGAGTGGATGTGCCAGTTGATGCGGTGCGAGTTGAAGAGGTCCTTGAGCATGACGTCACACTCGTGCAGCTCGGAGTCGCCGAAGCGCCTCTTCAGCAGCTCCAGGTACTTGAGCTCCCGGTCCAGGTCGTACGTCGTCTGCTTGAGGATGCGGTCAGCCAGCAGCTTGCGGTACTCCTTCACAAAAGTGTTCTTGCTGCCGTAGATGTTGACCAGCATAGAAATGATGTCAGCCTGCGGCGAGGCGGCGGCGTCGCGCGCGGGCGGCGCGTCGCGCGGGTACGGCGTCCAACTCTGCCAGTTCTGCATGTCGCCGTCGGGCGGCAGCACGGTCGGCTCGCCGCGCACCAGTTCGTCGGCCAGCGGACCGCCGCCCTCCTCGGTGAGCGAGGCCACGATGCAGCGCACCGTGTCCTCGCGGCCGCGCAGATACTGCCGGATGGGGCCGCCCACCAGCTCCACCAGCACGCCGGCCGGCTCCAGCAGCCGGAGGGCGCGCACCGCCGACACGTACGCCGACAGAATGTCCTCGGTGTTGGCGGCCGGGTGCAACAGCCGCGTGGCGACGGCGCGTCGCAGGGACGCCACCAGCTCGCCGCGCAGCCGGCAGCGCTGCAGGCAGGTGCGCAGGTCCTCCAGCGCCGGCTGCGAGTCCGGAAAGTCCACGATGATGTCGAAGAGCTGTCCGATCCGGCGGCGCGCGTACATCTCGTACATGTAGGAGACGGCGCGCTGGCGGGCGGCATCCAGACCCGCCTCGTCGCCCAGCAGCCGGCGCCAGTCGCACAACAGTGCGTCACACCAACCGTCCAGCTGGCTCACCACACTCTGGGTGAAGCCCGCCTGGCACACGGCGTCGACGCGGTCGGCCATCTGGCGGCAGATCAGGTCGGCGATGACACCGCCGGCCAGCGGACCGAGCAGGCGGAGCCCGGCCAGCCGCCGGCTGACGCGACGCGCCTCGGCCGCCGCCACCTCGCAGTCGGCCGCCTCGCCTCGGTGCGCGCCGATCGCGCGCCCGTAGAACTCGCGCACGGCCGCGTCGAAGCCGGGCGTCAGCTGGCTGAACATGGCGGCCTCCAGCATGTGCAGGTGGAGCGAGAACATGTCGGGCAGGCCGCGGTCACGGCATTGCAGCTGCACGCCCATCCTCTCGCAGAGCGCCTGCAGCACGGCCAGCGTGGCGGTACGCCGCTCCACCAAAGCGTGCAGCTCGTCAACGGCCTGCGCCAGCTGGCCGGCCATCAGGCGGCGCCAGAAGGCGGGCGCGTGGGTCACCAGCAGCTCCCGCTGCAGCAGGTGCGTGACAGTCGCCTGCACGAACTTGAGCCGGTTGGGCTCGGCGGTGCACGCGGCCTCCAGCCGGTCGCGTGCCGCTGCCTGCTGCTCGGCCTCCGTCGGCCCCCGCCCCTCCGACAGGTATGCTGTGTGGGCCAGCTCTAGCAGCGGCAGCTCCTCCGGTCGCGCCGCAGTCGCTGAGACATGGGCACATGGTGAGACATGGGCTGTTGCTGAGACATGAGCAGCCACTGAGACATAAGAGACATCATACAATCAAATCTGCTAGACAAAACTGCTGTTATACAGAGTGTCTTGATGACAACATTCAGTTTGTGTGTGCAAACAATTTCAAAACTTCTAAATGCTGCCAAAAGCCTCATCTTTCTAGGTTTTGTTAGGTGATGTAGTGCTGTGAACATTTTTACACAACATTGATGATAATGTTCATACATATTGACCTGAGTTTCCATCTTACCCTGACAACATTGCTGCTGGCAAACCCCACTAAAGAAGACTCATGTCACCCAGAAAAGGAAAATGTTGGGCACAACAGTTAAACAGGCAACAATTTCAGTGCTTGCTGGTCATGAATCTGTGCCCCAAATTTGGGTCATGGCAACCACCAAGTTCAACACGTGTAGAAAATGTTTCATGAAATCATGATGGTGCTAAGGAAACTGTAAGCCTAAATTTTTTAAAGGATAAACTGGTTCCAAAAACAACTAAAAGCATTAGGTTGATTTACAACAAAAAAAACATTAAAACGGCACAATGTGGCCTAGCCTCAGCCTGGCACAAATATGCTCCAGGTTCAGCAACCTGATGTCAAGTAAGCATCATCATCCAGCCCAGTGGGTGCTCTCTCTGAAGACTGGCTGCTGAGCATGTCCAACATGTATGGATCAACCTTCAACCTTCACAAGTAAAAACTACCCCATCCAATCAAAACCACATCTAATCCATCCCATGCAGAAAAGGCAAAATATGCTTCTAAGGTTAGTTCACATCCATGTCTCTTCCATCATAGCATCATCTAGCTGGGACCTATGCTGGTACATCCCTGCCCCCAGTTGGTATTTCAAAAACAGAGACCAGAGGACTCTAATTGGATGTGCAGCATTGGATCATGCTTACAAGACTGCCGGATAATTTATCACATGGAACGACCAGAACAACCAGTGACAACAAAACAGCATTATCATGATGCGTTGCAGTGAGCTTGCTATGGTGCAAACATGTCGTTTTCTCTGGCATGTACTCATGTTTTGAAAAAAAACAGATATCTCTTAATACGCGCTCGGGTGGAGGGGTCGAATTGACCCCGAAATGTTTTTCCAGAAGTTTCCGAACGGCGTGGCGTAGCCGCGCCAAATTTTGCATGGCTGTAAACAATTGAATAGCGGATCCTTTGGCATAGAAAATTTAGATGTACCTTGTATGTTCGCTGACCTGTGCCAGGTCAAAGTCAGGCCATGGTTTCAGAGAAGGCAATTTCTAGGGAATCCTTCAATCTGATCCAACAAAGGAGTGTTAGATGAAACCATACATCTCTGAGATGCTTTCTTAGGCAACACAACAGTTGAATGAGTAAATTACATTGACCTAAGGTCAGGTATGAAGATCATACTAAGGTCAAAACCAATCTGTTTTGTTACCCTCAGGCTTGCTGTATGGGATAGTTTCTGGTGCTCATTTTGAACTTATTGATAGCAGGAACTGCTTTATACATCTTTCATGAACTTATTAGAGGTCAGAATAGGTCATTAACCTAAAATGACCCAGGTCAACATTTTGTTTTGGGAACATACTGCCTAGTTTGATCATTGTTACCTAGTACAATGCAAAACTCAAAGCAATCCCAAATGATTTTGGTCACCTTGACCTTCAAAAGGTCAAACAAGGTCACTGACATGGAATGAGCATGTGACCTTTTGCTTAGAAATGGTTACCTAGGCTCTGGGGGCAATTTAGAGACCAACCTGGAGCCTGGCCTTGTTTGACCTTTTTTGACCCAAAGGTCATAACCTAGGAACCTGAAACTTTTACCTAAGTAAGTTTGCATGCAGGTCAACATACCCTGTGAATTTGGTGCCCCTAGCTCTCTTAGTTTCCAAGATCTCATGGGTCAAATTGACCCCCACCCGAGCGAAGGGTATCCAGCCGGCCACCCAGGCACATTTTAAATCTAATATGTTTGCACCTATCATTGTAACACATTATAAAAACTTACCCACAAGTAAAACAAGACAATCAATTGCACACTCCTAATACCTAAGCAACATTGATTATAAGCGCATGGGCTGAAGGGTGCAAGACTGCAAAAAAACACGTTACAAAGATCATGTACATGTATGGTATAGAAAACAGCAGCAACAACAGTTTTAGCTGGGTGCAAAATAATCCCAGAAGTTGGATCACCCTAAAACCCCTATCATCCTCAACAACAGTTTAGGACAGCAATTTCAGTGCATGCATGCCATGAACAAAAAATGTGGGCACTTAGGAGGTGGGCAGCTATGACAATTTTAGTGCATGAAGAGCCAATAGTTTTAAGTAACTTTATGGATGTAGTGTTATTTCACAAATATTTAAAAAAACATTTTACAAGACAATGATTGGGAAATTCAGCACATGCTAATGAATAATGCATTGTCAACATTGCACAGTGGTGCAAATTCCTGTGCATGTATATCAGAAATATTAAGACCCACATTTCAGTGCAAGATACAAATGAATTTCAGCACAGAGCTCACTTTTTACCACATTGCACTTCCTGCTTGCATTCCTGCACAGACAAGTCAAGACTAAAATTCTGACACAAAGTTATTTCATGACAAATTGTGTAAAAATTCAGCATAAGTTGGCCTGGCCTGCATTTGACAAACACAAGATAAAACTTCAGCACACGGATGCCGCGTCAGGGGCCAGGCAATCATGCAGGCAGTCTTCGTCTGGAGGGCTAGCATGGACCTCCTGTGGGCTAGAATTCTGCCCGACGTCTTCTACAAACCCTATTTCAATACATTCTAACGATACCAATACAACTCATGGCCACAGCTAGCAGCATCTACGTCCACGTCCAAAATAAGACGCTTTACCTTTAGGCTCCAATGTTTCCATCATACTTGTCGGGGTGCAAATACGTTTATCCTTCTGCTGTACGCTGCAAGACATCGGACATAAGAATTCGTGCAGGGTGACAAACGGACGACCTCCCTCCAGTCCAAATACAAACAAAAACGCCGCCTGGCTCAACCGCCCATTCGCGGTTCATTCAATCCTGGCGCAGGCGGCCTTGGCGCAGTGTCACAGCTGGCGTGTGGAGCTGTTCGGTGTACGCTGCCAAACCTTGCTAGCCAGAAAGGGAACAACCCAGGAGACCTACGCCCAGGAGACCTACGCTCATTGGACTTGCGCCCAGGAAACTCACACTCACTGAACCTACTCACTGGACCTACTCCCAGAAAACATGCGCTTACTACGCCTATGCTCGGGAGACTCACGCTCACTGGACGTACGCCCAGGAAACCTACGCTCATTCGGTCTAGCCCATGAGGCGTACACTCACTGGACCTACGTTCAAAGACCTCACCCATGCGTAAGTGTAGAAGCCCGTTGGGTGCTATCAAATGCTGAAATTGGTCCTTAACTTGCCCCACTGATAAATACACAGTGATCTGGAAAAGTTACTTACTCCTCAAAGCTACTCTTTTCCTCGCCATGCGCGCACAAGTAACTGGCACTGACATCCATTGCGGGGCAGGCGCTGTTTCGTGGCGGCACAAGAGGCCTGTCATGTTACATCAGCCACAGCATGCCGGCACCGCTGGTGCGTCATCGCGTGACGTAGGAAAAAATGCTGGCTTATCATTGGTGCTGATAACATTTGGCAGCACACATCGAATAACTTGTAAGCCAGCTTTCTATTCAACGATCACGAAACCAAGTTAAATATTATGAGAATAGTACATTTCACCAGAATAAGGCAATACCACGAAAATGAAAATTGATTTCTGATAAATTACCGTGCCGATTTTAATATTAACACCAGTGTTTTGATAAATTTTGCGACCATAATGTTATTCTGCCGACCAGGCTGCTTGATTGATCGCTTATCACTGAGATAATCTGTAAATCCTTAGATGAAGCATTGGTTTGCTACACATTACCTCACTTTGAAACCAGACTCCTGATGCCTCGAAATTATGCTGTTATTCGTACTTACTATTACTTTTCTTTGCTTTCCTTTGAGACGTCTCGGTCAAGCATTGACAGACGATGAATTATCAGCTTCACCAAAATGGCCGAAACAAAATGACTTTGAACTTTGACCTCTAATCCAGCTAGTCTCAACAAATTTTCAGGGCGGGAGAATTGGGGCTGGGAAGTGAGAATGCACATGGCTACTCTATCGCAATTAATATTTCTTTGAAGGCTTAAACCGATGTCAGGGCGCCGCAAAAATCCCGTTTTTACCAACTGTGGAATTATTTTGCAATAAGGAATATAAATCGCAACACGATGTAAGGATTCCGCTACAGCCTGACTGGCGTCGCTTAACCGAAGGCTGGAAGTTGGTACGAGAGGGTACGTTAAAGTCGGAATGGTAATATTTTGGAGCACAAGAATGACGACATCCAACAGCTGAACATTGACTCGGAAAGGCGTACGTGTCGCGAAGATAAGAGACGGAGTTGCTGCGTTTGATTGGGTTGTGTTCCTAGGTGACTGTCTTGGAGCTGGGTCTTGATACGCAGCCGTCGAAGTCGTGGAAGTGAGCTGGTGTCTATTCAAGAAAACAAGTGGGAAGGTCGGAACAGAAGCAAACGAAAATGAATCCGGATCGTTTCATCAAGGGCCTGTCCGGGCATCTGTAAGTACGCACCTGCCCAGGGAATGACGTGAAACAGGTGCCTGGTTGATCTCAGCGTCAAAGATATTTGGCAGTTATATTTATCACCACCTCAGGGCAGTTAAAGACAAAACTTTATGAAAGCTGATCAAAACAGTCTACATGGGAAGTTATGAAGTAATTATTTGCATGGTTTGTGAAACCATGGTGTTGGGGCACACAATCCTCGGAAAGGCGTCCGTGTAACGACGTTTCTAGCATACGCTAGAAACGTATGCTGCATCATTTGAGGCATATTTTGTTCACTTAACCTGTACCTAAACTTGATTTTACATCAGATATGGTCATTTTGTATTATTTTATTAGTTTGTATATCTGAGAACATTTTGTGAGACACTTAATAGTCCAATTCAATAATCTCAGCCCTATATTTTGATAGGCTGCCTGCCCTGTTCAGTTTTGCCCCAGCTAAAGCTTGTTCAATTCTGCCATGGTTTGCAGCCTGCCCAGTTGTGTGGTTTTCTGTGACCACCTGGTTACAACCATGGATGGATAAGGAAACTTATGCATTTAGATTATGTAATATTAATAGTTAATTAGAATATTTATGAACATTAGATACTGGAGTGTTGTGGTGATGCATCTTGCAGGCAACATGAGCTCCAAAGAACATTTAAAGTTATGTGCAACTTAAGTTATTCATGGGGTTTTCGTACCCTTCAACATCTTTGTATCACATCAGTAATGGCTGCATTGTTGCAGTGACAGCATTTGGTCACTGGTAATTGGTTATATTTAGTTTCAATAACAATAGTCCATCATATACCCCAGCCATTTCTAAGAAAGACAGATATGATAAGGTAAGTTTGATCATTCCCAGTCCAGCTCAGTTCTAAAGCACAGAAACATAATGACCAAACCAAACCACTACAGATGCATTTAGCTGGCTGGCTCGTGGTGCTGTATGTGGGTGGTGTTGATGATTGTTGGTATCAACAAAGACATATTGTTCATGTGTTCTTGGTGTTCTTGGATTAGATATTGCACTTAGCCATGTGTGTTGCATGAACCCTGACCCTTCCCATCTGATGGTGGAATTCTAGTCTGATGGTAGAATTTGGTGGCAAAAGTTTAACATGCTGCAATGCTCTGCATGGTCTGTTCTGCTCTGGCATCATGTTTCACAATATTTGCTATGGAAAGCATCTATACATCATCCTGTGTGTTCTCTTTTTTGGCCAATGCCAGAATATCATCTTCAGTGTGACTGAGCAGCATGCCTTCAGCCAATTTGTGGTGACTGGGTTAAGTTGAGATGACATGTCTACACTTTATTTTTATCTTGGTTTCCTGCTATTTCATGCTTGTGTGCATGGTCCTTCATGGCTAAGCCCACTGTCAGGGTACAATTGTTTCCCTAAGTTTTTACAGTGAATCAGCTTGTTTTTCACTGTGAGGGATGTACATACTTTTCCTATGGCCACAAAAAGCTTACTCTTAATATCTATTTTGCACATACAAGTGACATTTGGATCTTTCCCACTTTGGATGACTTGGTTCCAGCTGTAGTGTGTCATTGCTGCCCATTTCTCCTATTTTCTCCTGGTGCAATGTTGCTGTTTTTGTTGATGCTGTCAAACTAGCTTTTCATCCTGTTGCAATATGGGTGTAACACAAAATCAGCATGCAGTGTTCAGTGTTTCTGCGACATTCTGTCCATTTCCTCCACGTCTGTTGCTGCTTCATATGGCACATCTCATCCTGCAGGGAGCCGTCAGTGCGCACGCACCTGAAGAACGTCTACTCGGCGGTGTCGGTGTCGACGCTGGTGGCGGGCGCCGGCGCGACGGTGCACCTCTACACGGGCCTGCTGTCGGGCGGCCTGCTGTCGACGCTCGCCGCCCTCGGCTTCATGGCAGCGCTCATGTTCACGCCTGACGACGGCAAGAACACCGGCAGGCGGCTGGGCCTGCTGGCCGGCTTCGCCTTCTGCTCAGGTGGGTGGCCCGCGGCGTCGAGCAGGCCTCTAAGCGGTGTCTCATTAGCGAGGAGTAAGCCTGAGGATATACACCCGGACCAAATCCAGCCTGGAATTGGTAGTCATCTGCATGTATTTGGAGCATTTGCCCCATATTGTGTGAACATACCAGCTGTAGGATTTACATGCTGATGCATGTGGAGATTGGAAGGTGCTATTGTACCGACTATTGCATGCTGATGGCCGTCCTGTTGTATGAAATCAAAATAATTCAGTTAAGGTCTTGTAGCACCAGTCAATCCCCCCAGGCGCGACAAATACTAGTGACCCAAGGAGTACCGATCTACGTTCTAGTTCGAATCCCTCGGGTTGGACTTAGATCAGGGATGGAGAGTCCGAGAGAGATGCTGTTGAGGTTGGCAGGACATCTCCATAATTCTCACTTGTATTCTTCCATAAATCAAATCAAACCTAAAACTCTTAAGCATGTGGGTATGGTGTATTGTGGACCCTGGAATGCCTGTAATGCTGAGTGAGGTCTGGGCTGTTTCAGGTACAAAAGGGTCCTGTGTGTATATATACATATATATGATGGTATATGTATGTGTAATGTATACATATAGATGTATATATATACACATACGCTATTCTCCTCCAGGGCATGGTAGCCTTAAAAAACTTATCCCATTCCAGTACAGACTTGATTATAACATCAAGTGCATCCGAAATACACAATGCATATTGCCGTAGACGTGAAGGTGAAACGTCCGGTGGGTGTGGAGCTGTGAAATACGGAGCAAACATCTGCGGTTTAATATACCTGCAAAAATGCAATTGTCTTACAGCTTTTCGCTTTTGAGTGGTGACAAATGTAGGTAATTGTAAGCCAATAAGTGGGCTTGTTTTCACTGTTGTCCGGCGACAGAGGCATGCACTGACATCCGTCAGCAATGCCACTGCAACGCTTCAGTAGAGAACCCAGGAAGGCGCAAAACCTTCCACCAGAGACCTTCTCCTTTTTTGCAAAGGTTTCCTTGGAAGATGGCGGCATGAACGTTTCATTATCTATTCTTGGTGAACCTTTGTCTTTTGTCTAAAAAATTTCCAGGCGCTTCAAAAAACACTTCCTGAGTAACAAATCGATTGCCTGCGTGAAATTTGCGATGCATATCATCGCTGCTATATGGCAGTGATGTGACATGCGGGCAGTTCATTTAAGGGCGTGACGCGGACATTCGATTCGCTGACATTAGAAGTCTGCCTGATTGCGCAACGTTCTTCCGACGAGGCACGCCCGAGGGCCGGGCTGCGCGCAGCTACATTAGAAGTCTGCTGATTGCGCAACGTTCTCCGACGAGGCACGCCCGAGGGCCGGGCTGCGCGCAGCTCCAGTGCTGCGGTACGGAGCGATAGTCGCCGGCTGCCGCTGGCATTCAGCGGGGAAGTCCCGCCGAGTCCGCGGTCACCGGCGGTCACGTGGCACTCTGTGACAAACGCGTGCCGCGCACAGCACGGATCTAGCGGGCTGGCAGGACGGCGGCGACTAGATGAGCCGCTTGAGCAGGGCAGTGGCGTTTGCATGACGGACGTGGGCTGGTGTGCGGTGCCGTCCGCACGCCGGCCGTGTTTTGCAGTTATGCCGAAGTGATGGACCGTCGTTTGAGACGAGTCGAGCTGGGCGCCCCTGCTGGACGACCCTCCGTCGTGCTGTGCTCGCGTGTCTGCGGCCGTTGTTTTGTTGGAATCGCCGTGCTCCCGTGGTCGGGGTGCCTGCCTTTGTCCCCGAGTCTGTTATCGGGACAGCTACCGAAACATCTGAGGCTCTGTCATGAGCTGTGCGATGGGTTCTGGCACTGATTGGTGCTCTTGTGCTGGGGCTGCCCAGTCCCGTGGCTTGTTTTATCCGTCGGGATTTGCAAGGCCGTCTGATCGGGCCATTTCCCGACGGAGCCCCGTCCCTCTATTTGATAAGCATGATATGTACTCGACCGAAATTTTAGCATAGGGCCAAGGACGAGGGAAGCGGCGTAGGCTCCCTAGTTGGGTTGAACATAACGGTTGCGCCTTATGTTCTGATCAGATAAGGGATGTCGGTTGGACGGTTGGACGACGTAGTACGGGTGAGATGGCGACAGGCGTGAAAGACATCAATGGTAATGACGTGGAACCAAAGGTAGTCACTTTGTTTGGAGATCCGCCCCTCCCGAAAGTTACGGGGGGGGGGGGGCAGCAGTTGGCTGTTATAGTGTTCTTGCTCTAATTGACATCGCATAGCTTGACAAATTAATGGCCAATAGTCTGGCCATATTTGGCCCATTCCGTAGATATTGGTCCTAGTGGACTAGGCTGGACGCCGCATTTGGTCTCCCGATGTAGTCTCAGCTTGTTGTACCGAAGACCGGCTCCGTAAAGGCGACATCGCACTCCCGCCGGTCTATAACTCGTACAGCCGTGGCCTCACAGGGCTGAGGCCGCGCAGTAACCCTTGTCATTGTTCGATTACATGGATGTATTGTAGTGCGGCGTGCGTCGGTATCCCTGACCTTCAATTACTCAGGCTGCTACGAGACGACCATGCCGTGATATTGGGTGATGCGTTGAAATTCGTCAGCTGCAGCTATCAGTTGCACTGGGGCTGCTTTTTTATGTGGCGGGAGCCCTTCTTCGCCACAAGCCATGTATAGCTAGCGATATAACCCTTTAGGCGGTCCTGTCCAATACGCGGCCACGCATCTGAAGAAGTATTGTACACGGGTTCCGACCAATGATCGATGAGGTTTCTGAACGGACTCATGGTTGTGAATTGGACGGTCGAATCTGGAGGAGAATTCCAGTCATCCACATATCTCTTGGGGTGAACCTCCTCTCTGACGGGCACTCGGGGCAGTAATCCTCGCGTATTTTGGAGCCGGAAGGCCCGCTGATCGTGGATCCGCCACATTGTACAACAGTCATTGTTGTATTTCCATCAAGATGGAGCCTCGCCTTATATAAAACTGTCTGGCCCGCAAATACTCGCTGAGCGCCCTCTGCGCTGACCGGTCTGGGCCTAGGCCACCTTCTACATATGTTCTCACCAGGCGCCCCCTGCGCCATGGGGCCTGGACCTAGGCCCCCTTCTGCAGATGTCCCCACCGAGCGCCCTCTGCGCCGACAGGTCTGGGCCTGGGCCCGCTTCTGCAGATGTCGCTTTACATCAACACGACTCTGATCCCGACGGCCTTCCTGATGACGAGCGCAGTGTTCGTCAGCTTCACGCTGGCCGCCCTGTACGCCCGCCGCGCCCAGTTCCTCTTCCTGGGCGGCATCCTTGGCTCCGGACTCTCCATGATGCTGATGCTCTCGCTGGCCAACCTCTTCTTCAAATCGCGGATGATTTTCCAGGTGAGCTTCTATGACGCCCGTCGTCGGTCACGTCTGATATGAGTTTGGCGGGACTTATGATGAATCGTACCTCGCAGTCAGTGGACAGGGTTTAATGGTTGTTCAGGGTGAGTACCGGTAATTTCTGGCCGTTGTTGTATCTTATATCTGAATGTCATCTGAAAACGGCATTTTGTTATGTGTCTTGCGCTGCGAATTACCAAAATTAATCGAAGTTTTGAGACTGGTGCTCCTCACGGTGTACCATGTGTGTGCGACAGCTGAGGGTTACGACATATCGCCGAAAAATGCGCTGCTCATCAGGTTGCTGAAGAAGTCGCCGCTGTGAAGACCAGGCGGTCCGTGCTCTCTGTGTTTGTCAACTGAGGTATATCTGACATCATTGTGATGTAATGCCATGACCGTGTGTAACGATTGGAGCCGTACGATTTCTGACATCGACACCCCGTGGCACACCGTTGTGTGCGGTTGCCGGAGCTGCCGGCGGCTGAGCTCGGCGGTGCGTGTGGCCGCTGGAGCTCTACGATCTCTGACATCGACACCCTGTGACACACTGTCGTGTGCGGCTGCTGCCGGGTCTGAGCGCTGCGCTGTGTGTGACAGCTGGCGCTGTGCGATCTCTGACATCGACACCCTGTGACGCGCTGTCGCGTGCGGCCGCTGGGGCTGCCGGGTCAGAGCGCGGCGCTGTGTGTGACAGCTGGAGCTGTGCGATCTCTGACATCGACACCTTGTGACGCACTGCCGCGTGCGGCCGCTGGGGCTGCCGGGTCTGAGCGCGGCGCTTTGTGTGGCAGCTGGAGCTGTACGGCGGCCTGCTGCTGTTCTGCGGCTTCATCCTGTACGACACCCAGCTGATCATCGAACGCCGCCGTCGCGGCGACAAGGACTACGTGTGGCACGCCCTCATGCTCTTCGTCGACCTCGTGGACGTGTTCCGCCACATCCTGGTCATCCTCATGCAGAAGGAGGTGAGAACCGACCAGCAGCGCTGTGGACGCGGGGCGTGTCAGACTTGCCCGGGCGCTTTTGCCAAGCGATGCTGGCTGTGTATGCACAGTTGTGCGCCTGGAAAGGCGGAAAAGCTGATACTTGACCAAAGAAAAGCCTCCTCTCCTTACAAGCCTGATGGCAATATTCAGCATTCAGCACCGATAAGCGTTCATTTAAGAGGCTCTTGCTGCGCATTTGCAACAACAGGAATATAGGAAACCATTTGTAAGGGCGTTTTCTTGTCCACTGCATTATTTCTGCTGTAGTTTATGCCCAATGGTTGCGAGTGGCTTCGCCACCATTTTTGACAGGTTCCACACGATTTAGACTCCTGACCGGGTGTCTTGTTGCCAGAATCGGAACAAGAAGAAGAACTGAGCGCCGTGCCGACGGCGCCGGCCTGACTGCCGCATATGCTGCACGTGCACGTGTGCGTGTTCTGCTCGGAGCACGGCCAGTCTCGCCGCATATATTAACGCCTCGAGCTTCTCCGTAATCGGCATATCGTTCGGACTTGTATCCGAGGGCAACTAATTTGCGATAATAATTCTGCGCGTGTGTGCAAAGCAAGCGAGGGAGGGGGGCATCCGTAATACCGGGCCGCGAGGTGGCGTCCGAAGGCGTGAGTGGGCTTCAGTTGTGGGGGGGGGGGGG